CCTAAAACCTTAAAAGAAAAATGAGCAAAGACATAAACAGATAATTCATTGTTATATCCCTTAAATATATGAAAAGATTTTCAATTTAACTCATACAGAAATGTAAAGTAAAACTACACAGATACTGTTTTTCACCTATAATTAGCAAAAACCAAAAAGCCTGACAACACACTGTGTTAGCCAGACACTCTTATGCCAGTGAGAATGTAAAATATGACAACCTTTAAAAATTGCCAAATTCTGCTTTATGAACAAAATTATAGAGCATTTGCCTTTTAAACCAAAAATCCCACTTCTAACAATTTTCCCTAAATATGGACCTCCAGTAATACAAAAATACATGTACAAGGTTATTCGTTGCAATATTTTTATAATCACAAAATATTGTAAATAACCTAAGTGACCATATAGACAGGAGAGTAGTCTGATAAACTATGGTGCATTCACTCAACTTACTACTATGTAGCTGTTTTGTTCTGTTATACGAATGGAAAAAAAGAGAGAATCTCTATAAACTTATAAATGGCTATGCAGTGATTTCCAGAATATATTCTTAAGTGATAAAAGCAAATATAGTATACTATCTTTTATATAAAAAAAAAAGCAGAAAAAATAATAAGACATAACCTGTGTCTGCTTACATTTATAAAAAGCAGCACAGGAAGAATAAATCAAAAGCTAATGAAACTGGTTACCTACCAGTTAAATAGATGGGAACTGGCTAGAAGGGAAAGGGGATAGGTGACAGTACTCTGAAAATAGTTTTTTATATAGTTCTGTCAAAAGGATAGAGGGAAAAACCTAAAATTGAATACAAACAGAAACAAATGAATCTAATTATATTTCAAATGAATAGAGTAAACTTTTAAAAATCTGCAAACAATTATGAACTCTACTTAGTAGGTTTATTTATTTCTGTGGTGGTATGGGAGCAGCAATTCTGAAACTACTTTCTATGTATTACAGGACTAAATATGAGTAAATATACTGTGTAATGTTTGGCGAAAGGTTTCTCAGTGTTAAAGAAGAGGGATACAAATATGGAACGGGAGAGGCTGAGAAAAATTTAATGGTGTTAAATTGGACTTAGAGGTATCAGTGTAAACTC